CTGAGCAAGCGACGCCAGTATCGGATCGTGTTTCACATCCGTCGAAGTGAGGGAAGACGTGTCGATGAACTCGGCCGCAACGGGGTCCGCGTCGAGGAGCTCTTCGATGTAGTCTTCGTGCGCGGATGAGGCGCGCGGGGTGGTGGGGAATCCGGGGGAGAAGGAGGGGGTGGGCTCGGTGCTGGGAGTAAGAGACGGGTGGGGGGAGTCGCCTGTATGGGCGAAGGGGGATGCGGGGGGCATTGTTGTTGTGGACGCGTCGGTGGCGGCGGCGAGGAGCGGAGCGGTGGTGGTGGTGGTGGCTGTATATAGAGCCTCTTGGCTGGATTGTGAGTACAACAACAAACAGAATAGTACAGGATGTGAAGCTGTGTCCCCCCCTCTTGCTGTGCTTGTCCTCCTGTCGCTGTCCCCTCCTCCTCTGTTGACTCCTCTCTTTGTCCTGTCTCCAGGCAATCATCGCGATTCCTGTCAACAAGCCCAGACGCAGGCACCCGGCGTGTGGGGTCCCCGCCCTGAGGTGCCACACTTGATATCGCCGCGCGCCCCGCCGGTTAGGGCCCTCGGCCTGACCCGAACCGGCGATACGAGTGCTGGACCCTGGGCCCTGAAACCCCCTCAACCCCCGCATCGCGGCATCGCGCACACCATATCGCGGCGTCCTTATCACTGCTTCCACCCGCTATATATACTGCTGCACCCGCCCCCGCTTCCTCTTCCTCCTCTATACCACCACCCATTGCACTTCCCTCTCCCCACTACAACCTCCTCCCACTTGCCCTACAGGACAACTGCCCACCATGCGCACCTCTGCGCTCATCCCCCTCCTCCCATTCCTTGCCACCCTCGCCCAGGCTCGCCCCCATCACTCACACGACAGCTCGTCGGCTCCCCAGCGAGCTCGCAAGTCGCTGTCGTTCGGGCCCGCTCACCCTCATGCTTCCTTCCATGTGCTCGAGAACCCGCCCCAGGTCCAGGTCCAGGGACTGGTCGACGAGCCCGTCGACGTGAAGCAGGTGGCGAAGGCGTTCATCGGCGGGAGGCTCGGTGGGGACGACGGGTTCTACATCCGCGAGGACGTGAGTGACCGTTTCCTCCCTCTTCCTCCCATTTCCTCCATGCGCCCATAGTTTTCAGCGTCTTGGGGTCCTTTTGCCCCCTTGACATGCTTGCTTTGTGTCGTCGGCCGACAGGCAGCTCGCTGGTCGGGTGGCAATGCCGCCACCCGTCTTATCAACCCTGAATCCCCGCTGACGCGTCTCTCCCACACACCAGACCTACACCGACGCCCGTACTGGCGTCACCCACGTCTACGCCCGCCAGCTCATCAACGGCCTCGAGGTCTCTGATGGCGACATCAACCTCAACATCGACCGCGACGGCCGCGTCATCTCGTGGGGGAACTCGTTCCACCCGGGCGGCTCCGCCCCGTCGCTGAGCGACGTCCACTCGTCCTCGTCTGGCGAGTCGGCGCGCTCCTGCGCTGTCCTCCAGGACAAGCTCTCGGCGCACGAGGCTGACCTCGCGGAGCTGAAGGGTGAGACGGGTGCTTGGGGGCTTGTCAAGGCTGCTGCGCAGGCTGTCCTGGGCACGTCTGGGCCTAGCGTCGAGGTCGACGCGCACGAGGCTGGCAAGATTCACGCCGCCATCCACCGCGTCAAGCACCACATGGACGCGGCTTGCCACGCCCCCCTCGAGACCGAGGGCATCCTCTCCCCCGTCCAGGGCCTCCTCGCGCTCCTCCCGCGTCTCCACGACGGCAACTTCCAGCCCATCTCCATCGACGACATCACCTCCACCCCGGAGCACTCGCTCGCACCCAAGCCTGCCCCCGCTGAGCCCCCCACTGAGATCATCTCGGGCCCCGGGCTCGCCCAGGCTGGCGTCAGGTCGGACGTCCCCGCGAGGATGATGTACACCCAGACGTCGGAGGGTGCGCCCCGGCTCGTGTGGAAGTATGAGGTCGAGATGAAGGATAGTTGGTATGAGGCGTATGTGGACGTCAAGTCGGGCGAGCTTTTGAGGGCCGTCGACTGGGCGAGCGACTTTACTTGGGATAATGCTGGGACGAAGAAGGGCGGGGTGGAGGCGAAGAAGGGTGGCGGGCAGAAGCCGCTTCCTGCGCCTCCCAAGAAGCTCAAGCCGTTCTCCTACCAGGTCTTCCCTTGGGGTGAGTCATCGTGTGTCTCAACGAAGAGACAATGCTGACGACCTGTTGCAGGCGTGAACGACCCCACCACGGGCAACCTCTCCATCGTCACCGAGCCTTGGGACACTGTCGCCTCCCCCCTCGGCTGGCACAAGTTCCCCACCACCTCCAACCCCTGGGACGCCCACATCCCCGGCCAGAACATCGCCACCAACTACACCACCTTCAACACCACCGCGGGCAACAACGTCTACGCGCATGAGGACTGGGAGGGCCGTAACAACTTCCTCCTCAACTACCGCCCTGTCAACGACAGCCTCACCTTTGTCTACGACTACGGGGAGGTCGAGGGCCTCGCGCCCAAGGAGTACGTCGACATGGTTGTCACTCAGCTGTTCTACACGTCCAACGTGTACCACGACTTGCTCTACCGCCTCGGCTTTGACGAGCTGTCGGGTAACTTCCAGGTGTACAACCACGGCTTGGGCGGGAAGGGCGGTGACCCTGTGGTGTGCAATGCACAGGACGGGAGCGGGTACAACAATGCCAACTTTATGACCCCGCCGGATGGGCAGGCCCCTAGGATGAGGATGTACATCTGGGACACGGCGACGCCGTACAGGGATGGTGACTTGGAGGCGGGTATCGTCATCCACGAGTACAGGTAGGTCACCTGTGATGTTTGTCGTCTACATAGCCCAATGCTGACAATGAGTCACAGCCACGGTCTCTCCACTCGTCTTACGGGTGGTCCCGCCAACTCGGGCTGTCTCGGCTACGGCGAGGCGGGCGGTATGGGTGAGGGTTGGGGTGATGCGCTTGCCACGTTGATTAGGCAGATCGAGGAGCACAAGCTGTTCAGGTGAGTTCCCCCGTCGCCGCTGTCCCCCCACTGGATGCAATGCTGACTGAGACCTCACAGCAACGGCACCGACACCTTCTCCATGGGCGCCTGGGCTGCCAACACCGACAGGGGTATCAGGAACTACAAGTATGCCACCAACGAGACTGTCAACCCCTCGACCTACAAGACCTTGGACAAGGTGAGCCCGCTTTGTGTTGACCATGTTTATTCAGAAGCTGACAGACTAACAGCCCGGCTACTGGGGTGTCCACGCCATCGGCGAGGTCTGGGCCGAGTTCCTCTTCGTCCTCTCCCAGCGTCTCGTCGAGAAGTACGGCTTCTCCAAGACCCTCTTCCCCCCTACCAACACGTCTGTCGCCAACGACTACTACACCACCACCCTCGAGGAGTCTGTTGACTCTCTCGGCCGGCCCAAGCCCCTCATCCCCAAGCACGGCAACACGCTCGCCGCGCAGCTCATTGTCGACGGCATGAAGCTCCAGCCGTGCCGCCCGTCGTTCTTTGACGCGCGCGACGCCATCATCCAGGCGGACAGTATCCTCACTGGCGGTGAGAATGCGTGCTTGATCTGGGAGGCGTTCGCCGAGAGGGGTCTCGGGCAGGATGCGATGGTGACCGGCCAGACTCCCTGGGGCGGTGGGATCAGGACCGACGGATACAAGGTGCCCAAGAAGATCTGCAAGCAGAAGTAAATTGGCGGTTGGAGGGGCTAGGTGTGCCAACGCTGAAGCCGGAGAGCATTTTCAAGTATCAAGACAAGAGAGCGTCTTACAAGTACTTTAGAGAAACATGGGAGGGGCAGTGTAAGAGCGGAGAAGCTGTATAAGTAGCGTGTGTGCGTGTTTGTTTTTGATCTTTGATAACCATACCATATCATGTCTCATGATTGTCGACATGATGATCGTTGTAGATTGAAGTGCTTGTTCATAGGAAGTAGCAGATGTAGAATGAATGCAATGCAGAGAATCACAGCATGACCTTCTCGCTTCAAGGTCTTTGGAGGGGATGAGCGGTGGTCCACCATCGGCACCATCCGAGACAAACAATGTTACAACATGATCACCTGCCTCAAATGTAAGCGAAAGATGCATATCGATGAGCTGCAGAGGGCATGCATGCATTGCGGTAACCGGTAAGGAATCGCGGTACCAAGACCAAACTCGCCGTAGACAAAGGCAACTCGATATAGTCTCAACAAATTTTGTTTTGAAAAACAGCGTAACACTGAACATTGGTGGTGTAATGGTAACATGAAAGCTTCCCAGTATCAAAACTGGCCTCCAATATGAGGACAAGCCTTTGCTTTCGCCCCGAGTTCGATTCTCGGTCAATGTAAGTTATCTTTTTGCCTTTTTGGGTGCCTCAGCCATAACCTTTTGCTCCGTTTGGCGTCGTCGTTGAGAGGATCGGACAAGTTGGGTGGCTTCCGTGGTAATGCACTCCGACTCGAGGCGGATGCACCGGGTACGTGGCCCTTCGCGGGTTCGGGAGTAGCGATCTGTGGGGTTAGGTATCGGGAGTGTAAGGAGTACGGGTCAGGGAGGAGTGTGAGCGACCTTCATTCAGCTATTACCATGTTGCGCAGGGATAGGCGCGGGGCTTGTGGTGTCGAGCTAGCTCGCTAGTAACTAGCATGACAGGTATTATGCTGCATACTTGCGAATTTACCCCATACTTCGAGGCGGAGACAGCTCGAGAGACCTCCTTTCGCGAACGGGCACGCCAGGTAGTCTTGGAAGTCTTCGAGAAGGCCTCCAGATGAACACTGTCTGCAGGAGCTGGGAGGCAGCAGACCCACGACGACTGAATTGTCACGTCTCTCATAGCGGGTCCGTGCTATACAAAAAGAAACGCCATGCGAGGCCTCCAGCTCCACGTCATCCGAACAGTCAACTGTGCTGCTGTGCTGTTCTCTTGCCTCTTGAAGTGTGAGAGGTGTGTGGACTTTTGAGAGGCTCTTTGCCTCTTCATGCAGTAAAAAGGTTATACACCGTAGGGGAGTCGAACCCCTGCCGCATCGAATTGTTGAGAACCGAAGTTCGCCAATGGCAACGATGCATGATACCGTTTCACCAACGGTGTTTTCCGATGAAAATTACGTTTTTAGTCGACCCGTCTCTGCGCGTCCCGTGACGTTTCCTGAGTTTTAAGGCTCGGCTAACTCCAAACGGCGTCTTCTTGCCTCTTGTGACAGTGCTATCGGTTGCTGAGAGCAGCAGTGATTGATTGGTCTTGCTTAAAAGGGAGCGACGATGCTCGAGCGGAGAACGGGCGGGAAGGAGAGGAGGATAGAAGCTGTACTCGCGGCCCTTTGCAGCCCCGAGATGTACACGAGCCTCCAGTTAAGGTTCGGACTGCATAGATGTATACATGTATTGTATTCGTTGTGCTTGAAGCTCCACAGGACAGAAGACGAGGATATCAAAAAGTGCAACAAGATGAAGTCGAAGGTGGGTCGGGCGAAGGCGTGACACACACAGGCCTCCACCTCCACATCGCCATCAGTGTTGACATCCCCACACAATCACTTGTCCCCATCAGCATCAGCATCAGCATCAGCCCTGTGTTCCGAGTCTACTCGAGCCCCGACTCATCATTATTGACATTTTTGCACTCCGCCTTTTCAGTTCAAACTCCGCCCCCGCCTTGCCCGGCTCTCGCTCGACACGCCTTCCCCGCCCGCCACACGGCACAAGCCTTATCACGCCCGCTCCGCCTCTCCTTTGTCCGGCGGCCTACCCTTAACCACGCCCCCTCCTCGCGCCTTTTTGTGCTTGCAAGAGCTGCTCGACCGAGGACGCTCTCGCTGTGCAGTCTGCATCTGGATCTCTGTCTCGACGACTTCATCCTCGCGAGACGCGATTGAAAGTCCGACGAGGTGAAGCTAGGAGGGCTATATATATCTCATCAGCGAGAAGGGGCAGAGAAGTTGGAGGGAATCAATCGAAAATTTCGTAGTGCAGCGTTGCGATCACCACCACCACGTCCTACATCTGTCACGCATCTAGTTTGCGATGGGAGACGACATTCGGGAGGGAGCACGAGGGAGCGTCTTACTAGAGAGAGGCGTTCCTCCATCGGTGTTGGAGACTCTCTCAGACGAATCAGTGGAATGTCTTGAGCGGCTAGTCATCTACGACGCCCCTCCTCTACCCGAGTGAGTGCTCTACATGGATCAGAGCTGCATGAATGAAGCTGACGACAAGCAGCTTTGGAATCGTCAAGCAGGCGGCAGTACTAGTCGTGCTCTATCAGAAGCAGGGAGACGACAAGCTTCACGTTCTTCTAACCACTAGGGCGAAGACACTACGGTGAGTGCGATGCAGCGGGGACTTAGGTGGGGAGATTGCTGACATCTTTGGCACTCGTAGGAGACACCCCTCGCAGACGGTGAGTGTTACTCAAGGAAGATGGAGGTCAAAACTAATGTCATGTAGGCGTTACCTGGAGGGAAAGTCGACCCCGAAGACGAGGATGCCATCTTCACGGCTGTGAGTGATTGACAGCGCTCTCAGCTCTGTGGAAGTACATGGCTGACGGGAAGATGTAGAGACGTGAAGCGTACGAGGAAGTCGGCCTCCCTCTCAACTACCCCTCCATCCACCACCTCACCACCCTCGACCCTGTCCTCACTATCCTTCCCCTCAACGCACACATGAAGAACCATATCATCGTCATTCGTAGGTGACAGAACTGTCCCAGACAATATCAAGCTGACACCTCCTCTCAGCCGTCGTGTGCTTCCTCTCAGACCCTTCTCTTCTGCTCTCTTTGGAGCCAAATCCGGACGAGGTCGACGCCATCTTTACCCACCCGCTGAAGGGTTGCTTGACGGGGAGTTTAGAGGAGAAAGACCAGGAAGGGCTGTCGCGGATTGGCGGAGAGTGGTGGCCTCATGACGAAGATTTCCATGTGAGTGCTTGGGTGTATCTGGCAGGACGTAAGCCATACTGACGGCTGTGATGCAGTCCACTGAGGATAGAATAGGCGTAAGTCGGATGTGAGTTGTGTATTGACTTACGACTTTGAGCTGACAATGTCACTTCAATAGACAACGGGCGGATATCGCATGCATGTAAGCTTGCCGCTCTCTATACGTCTCCTGAAGAAGAGCTTGTACTGACCTACTTTTGTCGACAGCGATTCCGTACCAAACGGACACCCATCAAAGGGCTCACGTCCGACGTGTACGCTATGTACCATTTTCATTACGAACGGACCCCACTAACGAATATCGTAGACTCATCCACACCGCCACTGTAGCTTATGGCGAGCCCCCTTCGTTCGGCCGCTTCGCCCCCAATCAACCGGCATTCTCCAGCGCGATCTCCAACGTCGTGCTGGAGCTGCCCGGAGTCATTGACCAAAGCACGATAGGTTCCCGTGTGCTGGAGTGGGGAGGTACGGAGGCGGGGATAGCGATCGCCAGCCACGAGCAGTACGAGGTGGTTTGATCCGATTGGACTTTTCTAGATTACACAAAAATGCATATATCGTGATCATGATCTGACAACAGGTGATGTATGATGAGGGATGCGCTTAACAAGCTCAAACCATGTAGATGATTATACTTTGCACTACAACGAGCTCTCTCTATCACCTCTCCAGCTCTACGATCCCAGCGTCCGAACCCCTCTTACTGTCACTCTCGTCTAGATCTTTTCGTGTCCTGCCCAGAGCACTCCGTGTATGCCGCTCCGGCCCCTGCACACTCCCCGTCTGCCCCTGCGACTGAGTCTGCCCAGGCGTCACGCCGAGCCCACTCCCAGTCCCAAACCCGCCAGTCCCCGCACCTGTACGAGACCCAGTGCCCGTGCCGCCCCCTGTCGGCGTACCAGTACGCCCACCCGACACGCGGTTGGCGAAGCCTTGCATGGCTCGCGCGGCGTTGCCGATCTTGGAGCCGTTGGTGGCGGAGACAGAGTGGTGCGGGGAGAATGTGCCCTTGCGGACGTGCTTGCGGACCACGCGTTTGGTACTGTGTCGTGTCAGCTGGTGTGATAAGTGGATTAAAGGTGGGAGGAGACTCACTGCCACTCGACAAAGCCGTAGATGATGGCGTCGAGAAGGCCCTGAGAAAGGACGAGCCATCTAGAGATGGCGCGCAGACTAGTGGGTGGGTCGCCGGCGAAGTCGTCTGTGGTACTGTCAGCAAAGCTTGAAATAGCTTTTGTGTGGAAAGCCACTCACATATCAGACGGATAAATGATACCGAGAACAGTATCACATACTGTAAATTACGTCAGCCACGCGCTTCAGAATACAAAAGCGGAGCACTCACGCCGAGAGGAAACCACAACATCAACAACGCCGTCTTCCTGTTGAGATAGCTCGCCATCGACTCTGGCACCAGCTCAACATATTCTCCATTTGAGGTGGGCGGTGCAAAGCGGTCGTCGCTCGTCGCCGGCGCCTCAGACAGCATCTTCAACAGATCCCACTCCTCCTCTCCCTCCGGCTCGGTAGTACCGAGCTCCGCCTGGGAAAGCGTTTGGCTGCGCGCGCCGTTCTGCGACTTTGTGTGATTGGGGAGGGGGGAGGGTTGGCCCCTCCGAGGGGAAGGGGAGCGGGATGAGAGGAGGTGGGGAGATTGGGTGCGGGATTGGGGAGGGGTTTGTTGGTAGGAGGATGGCTGCGTGTCAGTCTCTCTGAGAGGCTGCAGCGGCTGGGGGAGGTGGATAGGCTGGGGTTGAATGAGGGCAGGCGGTTGCTGAGGCGTCTTCTCCACTTCGCTGGGCACCGACGACTTGCGGGACGACATCTCAATCTCGTCCACGGCCGTCGTGATCGATGGTCTATGCCGCTCGCTCGTCGGTGTCGTCCACTCAGATGAGGGCGGGCTGACGTGCCCGAACGTCGTACCGGGTGACAGAGGCCATGTCGGAGACATGGGGTCGACCATCGTCGACCCGCTCGACCCCTTCCGCAGAGCTCCGTGTCCAGGGGTTGAGTCGCGCTGGATTTCGTGGAGGGACTGGGGCTGGACAGGCGAGTAGAACGGGGTGAATCCCATGTCGTGACCCGAGGGGATACTCTCCATTTTAGGCGCCGTTAACGACCCCGCCGGTGGCTTGTAGCTCTCAGGAGCTTCGCCCGCCGAGGACACACTGCCAAACCTCGACACGGTGTGTGCCGTGGGCGGAGACCCCGGCGGGTTGAACGTGGAGCTAGCTGAGGGCCGCTTCTTCCCGCCGAGACCTTTCCACCCACTCCAAAGCGAAACAGGCGCACTAGTCGGCGACGACGGCCCGCCGAAACGCTCTCCGTCGATCTGGAACGCCGGGAGGTCTATCCGCTCCCATGGGGGCAGGTCCGCCCAGTTCGCAGGCGGGCTCGCCGGTACCTGTTCGGGATGGAAGGCGACTTTGGACGGACGTCTGGTAGCGTTCTCCTCCGAATCGTTCGCCCCGCTCCCACTCCCCGAGCCCTCGCCAATGTGGAGTTTGGTCGCCTCGAGAGGGCTCACGCCCGCCAACTGCAAGCCCGCACCTTGGGAGGGGGCGTGGTTCCGCTTGAAGATGTTGGCGAGCGAGGAGATGCGTGACCGCCGACGAGGTTGGGTGCTGTTGGTCTCGTAGGTGACGACGCCGGTAGATGAGTTGGAGTGAGGGGCGCGAATACGGTCTGGCCGCCGGAGGAAGACGAAGAGACGGGAGTAGAGGATAGTGATGGTGATACAGACCACAGCCCTGTTAAGGGTGGCTTTAGCGCAGTCCTGCTGCTTCTCGAGAATGATACACACCTCGGAATGAACTGGATGAGCTCGGCGTAAAGCCCCGTGTTGTCGCCGTAGTAGCATACACCCCCGGCTGTCATAGTCGTTAGCACAGTCTGATACGCCACTGCAGTCAAGTCAGCTTACCAGGGTAGTAGCCCCATACGAGGTAGCCAATTAGCCCAATGGCCATAGACGTCACCCATACTACAAATTCTTGTTTCAGCTCTCGAGCCTAGAAGCATAGCCGTGTCACTCACCAGCCGCCCAAAGGTAGTACCACTTCTTCTCTAGCCACAACGTGAATGCATGGAGAGGCTGAAGACGATGTCAGCAAGGCTCTCAGTGGCGGAACTTGAGCTCGACT